GGTTTTTAATTTTCGCAATTCCATTCATTCTTCGGCTTTTTGCTTAATTTCGGGAAAAAGTGATTGATATTTTTTTTGAACTCGATCTTTTTTCTTATCTTTTGCGATTTTTTTTCCTAACCCATCAATCTGTTTGCCTTGCTTATCTATTTTCTGTCCTTGTTTTTTTACTTTTTTGGCTAATTTTTCTGTTTTTTCAGCCAAATTGCCGACTTCTTTCGCTAGTTTTTTCTCGACAATCTTTTTTGTAGACGCCTGATGCCTATTATTCCTTCTTTTCTCATAAATCTTCCGCATTTTTACACAAATTCTACAAGATTTTTCATCATGATTTGGTAAAGAACGGCAACAATTAGGAGACTGTGGAAAAAGTTCTGAGTTGGTTTTTGTTGCCATGACTATAAGGAATAATTATTACATAATTATTTTACTTTTTCTCACCAAATTTACCAAAAATTAAATTATGAGTAAATAGAGTAGGTAATCTCTTTATCTTATTATCTTTTCTGAGATTGTTGCAATTTTTGTCGTTCCTCAAAACCAGTTCCCACTGGAATTAGTTGTCCAGTTATTAAACACTCTTTGGGAGAATGTAAGTAGTCGATAGGTTGGTATAGTGAATAGTTGACCAAACTTTTTAAAGTATTTTGAAAAGAAATTCCGGCCCAAAAGGAGTTAGTGTTAGAAGCCAAATCTTTAAGGCTAGAAACGATATTTTTAAAAAGCAGAGGTTTTTTTTGCTGAGCAATTAACTCTTGGTTGATTTGACGAACTTTCTGATAATTAATAATCTCTCCTACTAAGTAATCACTATCGCCACTCTCTAATACTTTGACTCGGGATAAGATTTGGTGAGCAAAAATTTCTAAGTGCTTATCGGCAATATCAATTCCTTGATTATAGTAAACTTGTTGCACCGTCTCTTTAATGTAATTCTGGTAATTTTCCCGACCTACGTAAGACAAATATTCTTCTAAATCGATTTTCCCCAGAGTGAGTTTGGCTCCGGCAACTACTTGCTCTCCTACTTGAACTAATACTGATTTTTTTCCGGTTCGCGAATAAGTGATTTCTTGGCCAGTTAGGTCAGTTTGTTTAATGGTTTTCTCATCAATAACACTAATAGTTCCGTTGGTTTTGGCTAAGACGGCCTTTTCATTTTTGTTAGGCTTCAAATTATCTAGAATTTGTTTAACTTTAGGTATCCCCTGAGTGATATCATCTTCTTCACCCGCAATCCCTCCGGTGTGGAAAGTCCTCATGGTCAATTGAGTGCCGGGCTCTCCTAACGACTGAGCTGCGATTATTCCCACCGCCGCTCCGAGGGAAATCATTTCCTCGTGGCGAGTTAAATCAGCACCGTAACATTTCTGACAAACTCCAATTATTAGTTCACAACACATTACCGAACGAACTAGAAGCGAATTAATGCCTTGTCTTTGCAAGGTCTCTATTTCTTTTTTTCACAAAATAGTATTACGAGGAAGAATAATTTTTCCTTCTTCGTCGGTAATGTTCTGAGCCAGAAAACGACCGTAAACTCTTTTAGTTCAAGGAGAGAAGTTATTATCGCCTATTAATATACCGTCGGTGGTGTGGCAATCCGGTTCGCAAACAACAACGCTTTGGCTTGCTTCCACTAGCCGACGGGTCAAATAACCAGCTTCCCCGGTTTTCAGAGCCACGTCAGTAATCCCTTTAATTGCTCCAATGGAAGAAATGAGAAATTCATCGGCACTTAATCCCTCTCATAATGAAGAAATGATGGGGTTAGGAACAATTTCTCCACGATAATCAGTAGTGTTGCCCCGAAAAGCGAATATCTGGGTTAAATTTTCGCTACTGGCTCGGGCTCCCGAATCCCAAATATTGTAAAAGGAAGTATCTTTTTTGGCGGCAAGATTAGTAGTTAATTGGGTTTCTAACTCATCCTTACATTGGGCTCAAATCGCAATTTTTCTTTGATTAAACTCTTCCCGACTGAGTTGGCCAGAATGGAAATAATCCTCAATTTGCTTAATTTTTTCTTGGGCCGAGGCCAAAGATTTCTCCTTCTGAACGATTTCCCCTAATTCGAACGGCGAAACACTAATTCCCGACATCATGACGTTATCAAAACCGATTTGCTTTATCCGGTCTAAAAAAATTACCATTTCTTCTTGGTTAGTGTGATGAACTAGGTAATTAAGGAAAGTAATAATCTCTTTCTTTTTTCAACCGGGCCGCACTACGTATTTTTGTCATTTTTCAGCGATTTCGTTTACTGTTACCAAATCCTTTTCTCCGTAACTAGTCAAATCGTTTAGATAGTAAGGAAAATTGGGAGGCAAAATCTTATTAAAGAGTAGTTTTCCGTAAGTGGTAAATAAAAATTTATTTTTTTCCTCGGCCAAATTGCGAGCGACCAAACAAGCCGGAACCACAATTAATTCTTGGGCGGCCAACTCCCCCTTTTCGTAACTCTGACAAATATTTTTTCATTCGTCGTAAAAAATTGGTTGGGAGTTTTTTTGTTCTTTGGTTAACCAATAAATTCCCAAAATCATATCCTTAGAAGGAATGGTAATTAAAGAACCATTTTTGGGGTCAAGAAGGTTATGACTGGCTAAGATATAATTTTTTGTCTCCTGGCAAGCGTCAGGCGTTAAAGGAACGTGTAAATTCATTTGGTCACCATCAAAGTCCGCATTAAAGGCGGTAGTCACTAAGGGATGTAATTCCAAAGAGCGGCCCAAAGTTAAGTGAGGATAAAATCCTTGAATACCCAAGCGGTGTAAAGTGGGGGCTCGGTTAACCAGAAGAGGATGGTTCCGGACAATTTCATTTAGCAAAGGAAAAATCATGGGGCTTTTTTCTTTTCATAATTGTTCGGCCTCCTTGATAGTAAAGGTTATTTTTTCTTGTCAAATTTTTTGCAGCAGAAAAGGCTTATAAAGAATGAGAGCCATTTCGACTGGCAAACCAACTTGGTTCAACTGTAAATGAGGATTAGGCGTAATCACCGACCGACCCGAATAGTCCACTCTTTTTCCTAAGGAATAATGACGTAATATCCCTTCTTTGCCGCTTAAACTTTGGAGCAGACTTTTAACTTCTTTTGTTTTTTGAGGCGAACCGAGCAACAACTTGTCTACCGCTTCTTGTAGTCTTCTCTTGACATTATATTCTACTTCCAAAGGGAAAATACGATTTTGTTTGTTTAATTCCAAATAATTTTTTACCAAATCGTTAATTAAAATGACGTGACGGTAAAGATTGTTAAGTTGAGTAGTAGCAATAGTGTTTTCTTCTTTAAGTTGAGTGGCTGGACGCAGACCACAAGGAATTACAGGCAAGAATTGCATTACCATCCATTCGGGCTGAATTTTATTTTGTATCAGAGCTCGCAGAAAACGCACTTTTTCTCATTGTTTTTTCTCCCGAGCCTTGGCTAATTGGTTTTCTAAATTAATTTCTCGCAATAAAACTTGTAAGGCTTCGGAACCAATACCGACTTTTATTTTTTGGTGTTGAGCCATAAAATCTAAATATTCTTCGAGAAAAGTTAATTCCTCTTCGGCATTACTCAGTTTTTCTTTTAATTTTTGGGCTTCTTTAACCACGCTATTTTTTGTTTTTTCCTTAGCAATAATTTCGTCCAGAATAACACTAATTAATTGGGAGTCTACTCGTTTGCCCAAGAGTGTCTTTTTCTTTACGCAGTTAGATAGACCACTATCCAGCACTACATAATTCCGATAGTAAATAATATCTTCTAATTTCTTACTAGGAATTTCCAGTGTTTTACTTCATTGGTTTGCCAAAGTTTTGAAAAGTAAAATATTAGTGATCGGAACAGCCAAAGCAATGTGTAAGGTTCGCCGCCGACTAACGTATTTCTCGTCTACTAATACTCCACAACGCTCACAAACTCTCCCTTTATTATCAACTCCTTTAAGCACACCGCACTCGCACTCAAAATTTTTGGAAGGTCCGCCCTTCACCGGATCTAAAAGTCCATCTTTTACTCGTTTCCCAGTGCGAGCATTAATAGTTTTGGTATTAGTAATTTCTCCAAAAGAAAGTTGCTTTAAGCGTTGGGGAGAAAGTCAGGTTAATTTGAATGATTTAATGAGTGTCATATGGTTAATTTTTAGTAAAATACTTATAAAAGTCAATCTCTTTATCGTGATAGTCTCAGGCCTGAATATCAAAACCAATGGCCCGGGTAAATTGTAGGGCAAAGTTAAGAGATTCACAACCGACGCTTTGTAAATTAGGTGGGCGATTACCAAACAGCAAGAAGTTTTTTAAGGTTTGCCGTTTATGAATGGCGTCGGATTTGGCTCCTATTTCGTTGACAGTCTTGGCCGCTCCATAAGCAATCAAAGCCAGAATCTCCATTTCCCCTAGTCGCAAACCACCTTCTTGGGAACGTCCTTTGAGTGGTTGCTGGTAAATTAAAGAATAAGGTCCGGTGTTGCGAGCATGAATTTTGTCTGCCACCATGTGATTTAATTTTAGAGTATAAGTATAACCAGTGTAAATCTTGTTGGCAAACGGTTGACCGGTGCGGCCATCAAACAACTGGCGATTTCCGCAATCTTTTATTCCGGCTTCTTGGATTATTTGTTGAATGGCATTAGGTGCCAGAGTATTAAAAGGCCGAACTAGTAATTTTTCCCCCAGACGTAAGGAGGCTTCGGACAAAATAGTTTCTAGTAATTGTCCGATGTTAAGGCGAGTAGGGACACTCAACGGATTAATAAGAAGGTCAAAAGTTTTTCCTTCCTCATCAAAAGGCAGGTCAACGGCTGGGGCAATTTTGGCTACGGTTCATTTACCCCCGTAACGATTAACTCCTTTGTCGCCTACCTCAATTTTTCTTTCTTGGGCCACGTAAACTTCTACCACTTCTAATTCTTTTTTGTTTTTGGTTAAATTTTTGCGTCGCACTTCATAAACTTCACCTTTCTCGCCGGATGGTAAATAAAGAGAGGAGTCAATAAAATTGCGTGGTTAAAGAAGCCCAAAAATTAAAAGAAAAACTGAGTAATGCCGAAGAGGAATTAACTTTTCTCGAAGAATA